CAAATAGAGTTTATAAACATTTTTTCCTTTATTTTTAAAAAACTTTGAATTTTATTAAAACAATTTTAATTGAAAAATATAGAAATGATGTAAATTACACTGAAAAAAAATTTAATTGATTCAAATACCTATCCATTTAATTGACTATTATCAATTAAATATTTACTTGAATCAAATAATATTTATTGGATTCAATTAATTGGTATTTAAACCAATAATTTCAGTATTTGAATCAAATACCATTTAATTGACTCCAATAAATATTATTTGATTCAATTAAATATTTAATGGATAATAGTCAATTAATCGGTTAATTGAATCAATTAAATTTTTTTTTCAGTGTAGTTGCTTATGAAAATTTTCTACAAAAATATTAAAAAAACGGGAATATGTAATGTTTTTTTTCTCAATTTTAAAAATTTCAATAGTTATGTTATTGAATTGTCTAATGTAATTCTTTTTACTATATTTTCGATTCAAAAGCCCAATGGAATATAAATCCAATTAATAAATCCATATAGCTAATAACTGTCAAGGAATTTATCAAGTTTAGTTAAAATATTTTCAGAGAAATTCAATTCTCTTATTTTTATTATAGTTTATTTGAAATTTCACACTCAAAATTTAATTGTATAGCTAATAATTTTTCAAAGCTATCAAAACATTTAAAAGCGACATCAAGATTTTGTATAATATATATATATATATATATATATATATATATATATATATATATATATATATATATATAATACTGAATGAAAACAACTTTAACTTAACGATAAACGAAACATAAAATCTCTTCAACGTCGCGAAATTATCATTTAGATACATCGTGGTCGAGAAACTTAGAATGTTAATTAGATTATCTTTATACGCGTGAATAAATGTCGGTTATAACTTACACCTGACGCCCGACAACATTCTACAACTGGCAAAGAATCAAATCTAACATATATATTCACATGCGAATTGCTTATATTCATCGATTCATAGTCAAAAGAAATGTTTCGATAATAATTATAAGCATTAGTGTATTTTAATACAAGATAAGTTAATTATTCTATACTCTATTCTTATTCTCTAAAGATCGTTTACATCTTATTAAAAATTTTACATCTTATTACATTTTTCGAGAAATTTCATGAAAATTGTAGTAAAAATAATTTTTTAGCAAAAACATTTTTTTATTTTACTAAGGAAAATAAAACTTGACTGGCCACCTTGGGGCCCTCTAGTCTATTAAAAAATTTAACTAATTTCAGAAGAATTTTAGTTTAAAAATTTTTTTTAAACACAGCCTGCAATGTATTGCTTCTTAGGATACCTTTATCCTAAGTGCCTCTCAAATATTAATAGTCACCAACACTTGTAACTCAAACTTCACTTTATTGTTTTGTAATTAAAACGATAGTTAATTATAAAAAGCAGTAAAATTACTTTGTAGTAAATATTTGCAAAGAAAACACACACAGTATTAAAAGAAAAAAGTTTTGAGGAATGTTAAAATACTTTTTAATTCCCTTATATATAAACGAACTTGGACGCAGTTATAATCATTTGCTACTTTAACTAAACATAAACTATGTTTCAGCTATTAAAAACAAAAGCAAAAAAGAAAATAAATAAAATAAAACATCAACACTTCTCTCGCGTGGAGGGATTATAAATTTTTCATCGAAATTACCTCGTTTATTCGCGCTTTACGTTCCAGTATTACCTATTCCTTTTACGATCGCGCGCGAGTCCCTGCGTCATAAACATCCTACCTGTTTTCGATAAGCGTTCACCATCATTCGATAAGAAGACGTCTTTGTAAATATTTGCATTAAAAATGCAATATAGTCATTTAAAACAAGAATTTCTCGTGAGCAAGCAATGGCAACCGATAACCGTTAAATTGATAATATCACACATACATTTATATTTATACACACACACACACCTTATAATTTAATCATAACAATTTTTATGCATTTAAAAAATACTTTCACAAATAGACTGGCGAATGTGGTGTATATATACTTTAAATTACTGACTTTAAACTACAATCATTATGGTACCATTAAGACAAAACGGAAATTTATTCGCATTACGCTCATTTAGCTTATGATTGATATATATTGAATGCTTTGTTTTTAAAAATTACTATACTAGTAATATTGGTTTAATCTTTAAGGTATTGATAAATATTGAGGCTTGTGGTAAAAATCGAGACTTTTAAGAACTGATAAATATTTTTTGGACTCAATTATGATTTTGCAAGAGAATTTTATGTGAATTTGAATGTTCTTATCATTTACCTCCTTCTGTTTTGATTTTTTGTAAAGGGTACACGAGATACACATATATGAATATGTTCGCATCATAATCAAATGGATCTAAGGTATTTAAGTGCTGATACACCCCTTTTTTGCGCGCGTAAATTATCTTTGATTCGCACTTATATATTTACAGTGGCATATAGAAGCTGGCTATACAGCAGACCTTTCACACGCACAGCCGCCACCTTGTAATTTAGGTTATCTTACTCCTCTTTAAGTGTGGCTGTCTTCGCACCCCTCCTTTTGATTAAACTGCTATAAGTAGGTATATCAAGTATATAATATACATCCACATATACGGGAGCAACCTCACGGTATTAATTACATCACCAATAATTATTAAAATCAATCAAGAAGCGATAATATCTTTCACTTTGCGGCTCTTAAATTGATGACCATCATTTTTATGATGCTGCTTTATTTACTCTTTTTCGTTGTAGCACTACGGCAATTTTTAACAGCAGAAATATGTTTGATAATTTGTTTGAAATAATTTGAAGGAAGGAAAAAACAACAATTCTTACAGTGAGTGAAGAATAAATAAATAAAAATACTAATAATAAAGACTGTATATAGTAATTTTCTATGAGGCTAAAGTCTGCAATGTTTGCAGACTAAAAAATTACTCAAAACTTTTCAAACACGAAAGCAATAGAAATGAGACGATATTTATTATTTTTGCTTCAAATTTAAATGATTTGTAAGCAACTCTTCTCTAAGAAAAATTTGGGCATATTAAAATTGGAGATGAATTAATTTAAAAAGAAAATTCTTTTCTAATTTTACATTTTTAGAAGAGTTGCGTAATTTTTAAATTTTTGTTTTCTTAGCGTCTTAAAAAATGATCCTAATTTTCTTGCTTTTCAATTTTTGGTGAATATTTTTTTAATTACACAAAACAAACCAAATGTAAATACGTTTACATCTTAAAACCAAAATAGTAACATATTTTTAATCTTAATAACATATGTGACTGTTTGATCTCCAATGCTAATTTTTCGACCATTTTACTATAAGGACCAGTTTCATTTTTACATTGCATTATATTAATGTCTATTATACACTTTCATTAACTTGCGTGAATAATTTAAAAGATATATTCAACTCAAAGAATCATGGCCCAATAATATAAACTTTTAATTAAATTACATTCAATATAAGAACACTAAAAATAACCTTGTTAATTTTAAATACAATACCAAATGGAATATTATGGCTCTACTTATTATTAGATTCTAAAATTTTAAATAACGATGTTTTGTTGGTAAAAATTTTTTTTTTTTGTTCATACTGACATCCAATGTACTGCTCCACTATTCTCTAAATCTGAATTAATAGTATTCTACTAATGAAATACTGCGGATTCGTTTACCAATTAAATTAGTGTAACGGGTTTTATTAACTTTTAGTAGTTTTCTACTAATTGCTAATAGAAAACTACTAATTTATGTAGTAAATAAGCTTTTTAATTTGAAATACTAAAAAATATGACTTACTATAATGAATTAGTAGTTTACTAACAATTAGTATAGAGAACTACTAAAAATTATGGTCCCTGTAGTTGGCGTCGATGCTGAGCGTCGAAGAATATTTTTTTCACGAAACCGAAAAAATCACTTAATGTTTCCCGAGGTTAAAGGTTAAAAAAGTACTCTTAAAAGTGTCTTATTTACTATAGGTGAATAAATCTAGTGAAATTAGTTTAAATTTTGTCACTAAAAATTAAAAATAGTTTTCGATGCTGAGCGTCGACGCCAACTTCAGGAAGCTAATTATTACTAAGTTAATTATTATTATATATATTAGAAAGCTACAATTATTAAGAATAATAGATAATAAATATAATATGCGAATATTATATTTTCCTATTGAAATGGCAATCTAATTCCTTATATTTAATTCTGGTGCAATATGAATTATAAGAAAAAATGCTAATTGCTCACTCTGTGGGACGTTGAGTGACTTAAGTGCCAAGCGCAGGTACTTTCGCGCAACGCGGGAATATTTAGCAACACCAGCGCCGCGCAGTGTGGGCATACGGTAATTTTCTCACAAGTGAGATGCAATTATAATTATTTATATAAGAAGAAAACAGACAATTATTGTATCAAACTTTCTGTCTATACTATTTTGATGTTAATTAAAATTTATTGTAAGAAAATCATTTATTATTTAATGTTCACAAGTAATTGATCATTGGTAGTTGTCAATTATTCTCAACAACATGTGTAGATATTAACTTGAGCAATAGTGATCCATTAATAAATGTCATTAATCTAACAGTATTGACTTCTCTGGTTACAATTACGACTAGGACTATGCCAATCTTTCCTTTCCTAACGGTTCGTTTTGAAATTATCGATAATTTTTTCCATTTGTTGGATATGTTGAACTTCATCCATGAATAAAGTTCAACATATCCAACAAATGGCAGAAATTATTTATTGATGAATATCTACTAAAATAGAATTAAAAACTAACAGGTTGGACTTTTTAAGCATGAGATAAGGGAAGAAATTGATAAAGAGAACCTTTGCAACTATCTTACGAGGTGGTAAAAATTTTACCTTCTAGAATTAGTATTGTGATTTTAGCGAATTGATTTCTCAGTGCTAGTATTTTTTCTGATATATAGAGAAGATAATAACAAAAGATAGATGATAAAATACCACAAACCATCAATCATTGATGTTGGTTGAACATTGAGCTGCTGATGATGATGTTGAGCATGTGAATGATGTCGGGCAGGATGCATTTGTAACAAATGAGATCTATTCTGTTGTTGCGAAAGGGTTGGAGAAGGTGGTTCCCAAGGTCTCGTCACAGTGCTACTCGGTGGTGTATCATCTTCTTGACAACAAATTTTTCTCCCAACAATTGAACTTGAATTTGTCACATTACCAACAACCGAATGAGCATCATTATTATTATTACTTATACTATTGTTGTTATTATTACCACTTTCATTGTCAATATTTGAAGCACGTACAGCGGCCGTCGCTGGACTTCCACTACCACTCCCACTGACACTAGCACTGCCAATGACATCAATAACCATTTCGTTAATAACAGCTGCCGGTTTGGCAGTTCCCGGAGGTGTTACAACACCACCCCCAATCATCATCACCAGTCCTTAACCCTAATTTCTTTTTCTTTCGGCAACTTTATCTATTGCCCTCGCTATTACATCCAGTATTCATCAGTCTTCACAATCAACATTTGTTTTTCTTACAAATTAACAAAAATCCACCCCTTCAGAGTTTAATAATCCGTAAACCCATCACTTAAAAACGGGACACTTCATACTGACAGATCCTCTCAATGATCACCGTGAATAAATAAACACCAATAAACCTAAAATCTCTTTTCTCAAAAGAAAACAGGTTTCGAATAAACTGCGACAAAACACCAAAAGTACGCAAGCGCAATACAAAGTTCACGAGTGGGGCTATTTGTGACGGAGAAGGGTTGTTCCCCCAAATTCAAGCCGATCGTGTGTGTATAAACTTGGAGACTAGATCTTCAGCCGGTGAGCACCCGTGACTGCTCGCGCTCCGCCGGATTCGAGCGGATTGGCTTCCGTTCAGCGGTTCGAAGCGCACCCAGACTGCCTGCCCTTTCCCTCCCCTCCCCCACTTAAAGGATCCACACCACTCGCCACCCACCCCATTCTTTCGCTCACCTTCCCCCCACCTTTCAAATGCCCTAAAGCATTGGCCACTGCGCACAGCTCTACCAAAGGTGAGATCAAGATTTAAGAAGGAGCTTGTCGTGAGGAATTATCACATTGCCTCGACTCTACTTGCTTAAGTGGTGCATACACCTGTGTGTATTTGTGTGCCTTGGAGGATACTCCCCACAAAATTGGTGTGGGGTCGTCCCCCCCCCCTTGCAATGATGTGTGTGTGGGGGGCAAGGGAGGAATCCCAACGGCGAGAAAGGGCATCGCGCGCGCACCACATCGCGCATCACGACTACTCGTGATACGCCCCCCGCCCACCAACCATTACCGGACGATCGACCAATTGGGTAACCTCGTGAACGCCCTCTTTATCCATCACCCACTCATCACCCCCCCTCTTTCCCCTTTCCTTTATAACCAACACCCGCACCAAAGTACAACACTAATGTGTAATGGTATTGCTCTCTTAATATATACCTATATGTGAAACTCATTAGAGTGCGGTCCTTTCCGTTTTTTTTTCTTCTTCTAGAAGCTTTTTCCATCTTTGTCTTACAAATACCCATGGATTCTTGTATTTCTGACGGTTTCTCTCTTTTTTTTATTACAGTCTTCTTTCCTCTCTTATACTAAGTTACTAACGTTACAGGCAATTAATCCCGGAATCGGATGTCAATCGTTATCAAATCGAGTTCGTCTGAGAAGGCCGAGTGCGCTCGCCTCTATATGGAAAGCAGTAAAAAAAACAAATGGTTTACATTCTCCGAGAACCGGCGCATAATGTGAAGACGTGGAGGTTATTGCTCTGTAAAAAGGAACTTGCCTATAATAGTATGCATTTAAGGAAACTTTTTTTATAATAAATGTATATAAATAGAAAAGAGACTTTCTTGACAAAAATTTGTACTTCTTCAGTTGATGTGACGTGTCAATCAGGCAAGTTTGCTATTGTGTACACTAAGAGAAAAATATATTACATAGGGTAACATAATGATTGCACGGGGTATCATCTATAGTGCTACAAATATAGACAGCTATATATATTGTATCAGATACAATCCAGATTGTACGGAGTAACATCTTGATTGTACTTCTGGTAACTTAATATTTTTGTAACAACTTTGATGGTACCCAGCAGCATAATGATGATAGAACGGATTACATCTATTTTTTATAATCAAAATCTGTTGGAATTGCAACGATAATTGTAAATATTAACCTGAGTTATTGTTAACACCGAATAAATGCCGAAATCAGCCAATACCCAATTTTCACCCAATATTGGATCACTATTGCGGCTACCAAGGCAAGTGCGTGATTTTTCAAGCCATGCCCTCTGGTCAAAAAACCATGTTGGTTCTTAAAATGTTTTCAAAACAAGTCCGCTTAATAATATGTACTAGAACATTATTTAATAATCTATGTTCATAAAATGTTTTGGAACATTATTTTGCGGACATGAAACGTTGTAAAATCTTTTTAAGAACGTTTTTGGAGCGAACATGGTTTTTTGCATAGTAAGTGGTTTTATTCATTGGTTACAAAGATTGGTAGAATATTAATAACCATTTACTAACCAATTCTTTACTTAATGCTGATCAAACAACTTATTAATGAGAGGAAGAAACTTTTCCACACCTTGGTGTAACAAGTCGTTAGTGACATGTTAGAACATATACTGTTCCTTGAAGGGCTTGTTACCCCTAGGAACTTTAAACACTTAATAAATAAATAAATATTTGTAACCAAGGAATGAGCAAGCATTAACTATAAAGCATTGGTAAACAATTGGTCATTAATATTGGTCCAATCTTTGGAATCAATGAGTAACCAAGGCTTGGAAAGACTCCCTTTTCTTCCTTAACAAAAGACTTTTCTTTTTATAGTGAACGTAAAGTAACCAAGAAACCTATAAACAAATTGTTTTTAAGGTATGATATTATAAAATTTAAAAAGTCCAATAGTTTTAATTTTCTCTTCACAAAGCGACTGAAAACTAAGTCTTAAAGAAAAAATATATAACTGTTTCCGTCGCTTAGCATTTTGGTTACAAAATTTAACACAAATTTTTTTCCCAAGTTGCAAATAGCAATCCGACTATATTTGTTTTTAACTTTTCTATTAGAACTATAAAGTTAATATATCTTTAATTATTAATTGAAATAAATAATTATTCCCTCTAAGCAACAAGAAGATTTTATTCAATTAAAATACGTATAATATAATCGATTGATTTAAATATTTATTTCTATTTAATAGAGTCAAATCTAATTCACTAATTAACTTAACCCTTCGAAAATACACCTAATACCATTTTCCAACCACAAGGAAATCTTTTTATTTGATACAAATAAATTTTATTTGGTTTTAATAAAAATTCATTTGGTTCAAATAAAAGTTTTATGTCAAATAAAATTTTCACTTAAAACAAATAAATAACCTAGTTGGCTCTGAGACAACCTATACTCTTATTTAACACAAATAAATTACATTTTGTTAAAATATAATTTTTCTTTGAAATACTCATATATATTGTGGTCGAAGGGTTAGTTATTTTTCAAATGATTTTTAATTAAGGTATCAATTATTGATTTCATGAACTTAATAAAAAGCCGACAGTGATCTCCATACATCGTATAACAGTAACGTTAATATTTCTTTTGTCTACACAAGTGTATCTGATCACCTTTTATCCGAGCTTAATTCTAAATTGAATATCCAGCTGTTCAACGAAGCTGACGTATGTAAATATATCTACCGATGAATTAAATATATGCAGTGGTAGGTATGTATTTTAATCAAATTGATGTACCACGCATAACAAAATAATTGAAATATTTATTCATTCAATTCAAAATCAAATAAATATTTACACTCTTAGCACAATTTCAATATATGTTAAATTCATATTATCATTTCATAAAAGCTCACACACAAATGTAATAAAATAAACAGAAGAAAAATGTGATCAACTATCGCCCTACAACTCTTTTAAGCATATTAGCTAAAGTTCTTGATATAATTTATGCCGAAGTCGAGCATTTTTTTAAGTGTGTTTGTCAAATCCTTTTGATAAGAATGCATCCTTATTAAAGGCTTTGGCCATGCAATTCTGGTGTGAAAGTTTAAAGGTGTTATTCTGACTTAATTTTTTGATGAAAATAATCAATAACATTACGAATTATCCAGTGCATATTTCTTTTCTAAAATTTAATAACGCGGCGCGCATGTGATATTTCAAATCAGTTGGACTTATTTTCTACGACGGAAATACATTAATTTAAAATAAAATAATAATTAACTTAGACTTCCGTCTGAATACATTCAGACGTGAGTTTGAAGAAAATTTGAGGTATATATATAGATAAGAGATCAAGGGAGGTAATATTGGAGAAAGAGGGGTTGAACAAAGTGACGACCACCATTGGTAAGGTAAAAGTAGTTGTTGTCACGCAAGAATATGCTAACTGGTAGCCATTGTATATTGATTTCGAGTATGCTAATGGTGTCGGATTAAGGAAAATGGCGCTCTAGGGGTGAGCGTTGTGCGCAAAATGCAATCCCACGCGACTAACAACCCCCTTTTGCTTTATATCCTCACGAGTCCATGCCAGAGAATTACCAACCAAAATCAAATGCTTCACGAACAATGGAACATTTAAAGCAAGGGTAAGGATAATTGAGTGTTGCCACACACTGACAGGAATTGATTGGTACTTTAAGTTATATACACCAGACAAATCTATAGACTTGTATGTATATGCCTGTCATACATATATATATAGTCATATATCTTGCTATATAGACAGTTTAAACATAATTATATCTTTATGTATGTTAACTGAATGCAACAAACTTATAACAATAAACCGAATTCAATGAATCTGATACTATAAATCATATAATATATTAAAATCAATCATATAATAGTTAAATACTAGTTTAACTCTGTTTTATAGGAGGTATATTTATCTGATTTTCTCAAAGTTAAAATTTAGTCAAAAATAGTTCTAATGTAAGTGATTTTAGTCAAAAGTGTATAAAAAAAATTATTTGGAAAGAAAACTACTGGACTGGTACTTGATCAACATTGGTGAAATGTGGCCAAACAAACTATTGCAATATTATAAAATAATATATTATATTATATATTATTATTGCAATATTATTAGGGACAAAAGTTCCAAAACAGAAGTTCGAATGAAGAAAAGTTCCAAAGATTTCAATTTCCAAAGACCGAAAGTTCCAAAACTATTCTTGTTTCCAAAGACCAAAAGTTATTCCGTCCTTCAAAAACGTCATTGAACCAATAATTTGTATCTAAAGAGTACAAATCCGATTCTATTTTTACAAAAATCTTTTATACAACATATAACTTTTTTCAGGATGGCTGATATAAATTTTTCTATTTTTAATGTTTTATAATTTTTTCTACTTTTTACACCTACACAGCACCGAAACTTTCCTAAAAATGTATTAAAGATTTACTTGCAAACTTCGAAGTTATTCACTTTTGCAAAATTTAGTGAAAATTGTGTAAAGATTTTAATGTCCCACTTCAATAAATGTTTAGCGTGAAATTGTCAGGAAAGTTTCACGCTAAAATTTCGCTTATAATAGAGTAGCTAAAAATGTATTTAAATGTTCAGGAAAGTTTGCTGATAAACATTTACTTGAAGATCATTTATTGATGATAAACATTTAAATTTTTACACAATTTTTACTAAACTTTGCAAGTAAATTTCTCGAAGTTTGCAAATCAATCTTTAATCGCGTTTTTAATTATGGCACTTCTAGAATAAAAAATAACGCAAGTGGGACAACCTGCAAGCCTTTTCCCTATACTTATTTTTACTTGTTCTTTTTGCTTTTTTACTCCCTCAAC